GAAAAAAAAAAAAAAGGAACGAAGTACTGACACATGGTACAACACGGAGGAACCTCGGAAACATGCTAAGTGAAAGAAGCCAGATACGAAAGGTCACATATCGTATGATTCCATTTATGGAACGAAGTACTGACACATGGTACAACACGGAGGAACCTCAGAAACATGCTAAGTGAAAGAAGCCAGATACGAAAGGTCACATATCGTATGATTCCATTTATGTGAAATGCCCAGAATAGGCAAATCCATAGAGACAGAAGATAGATTAAAAGTTACCAGCGCAGGGTGTGCTCAGAGCAAGGGGCCTGAAGAAAGTCTCCTCTGTTCACAACGCACCTGACAGGAATCTGGGGCCATAGTGATGAGGGGCACAAAACTCGTGGCCTCCCTATGGACAAACGCCATACACACACAAAAAGAAGTTGCCGGGGCTTGGGGGAAATGGGGAAGGGGAGTGAATGCTAATGGGTAGGGGGTTCTTCCTGGGGTGAGGAAATGTTCTGAAATTGACTGTGGTGATGGGTGCACAGCTCTGCGTAGAGACTAAAACTCACTACGGTTTAAATTGGTGAGTCATATGTGAATTACACCTCAATAAAGCTGTTATTTTAAAACAAAGCTATACAGTGGAGTAACAAGTGGAGGGGGCACAAGGAAACCTTTGGGGGTCTGGTGACATTTGGTTTCCTGATCAGGGTTCTGGTTCCACAAATGTTTTCACTTTATGAAAATCACAGCCCTTCACACTTGTAATTTGGGCATTTTTTTCTTATACTCAATGAAAGTTTACATTAAAAAGCAAACTATATACATAACATCATTTACCATTGCAAGTTAGAATTTTAAGATGACACCCCAAAGGGGCCTGAGGGGACTGGGACAGGCTGGGCTGCCCCATACCTTCACTATGGGGTATGTGTTTGCCAAGACTAGGAACCGCAAAAAGGGTGAATTCACTGTATGTAAAATGTATCTTAAGAAACCTGACCGAACTGAAAAGGTTTAAGAATAAAACATTATGTGGCACTTAAAAAGGACATGCGTAGAGTTGGTGTAACACAGAGCAAGACTTGCTTCTGATAGGGAAAGACCCTGAGACTGCCCACAGTGACTCACAGCTCTGCAAGGCACACACCGTGGAAAACTACAGGCAGGAAGGATACAGCAAAGGAGTTAAAGGTTCTGGCAGGAGGCCCATGAGGGGGCCTTTCTTATCTCTAATTTCTAAGTACTCAGTAACATCATACACTGGTTTTAGAATTTTGAAATTATAGTTTTTAGTTAAGAGTGACAACCCAGCCTCCTCAGGCTACTGCAGCAGCAGTGAGATGTCAAGACCACTGCTCGGACCACAGAAAACCCCCACATCAGCCACAACAACCCACTATGGAGGAATAAACAGGAAACTGGCTCAAGAGCAGAAAAACGAAGTCAGGGAGCAAGAGGTTCACTGCAGCTCTGTTATATCGCAGCCAAATCTGAAAGCTCTCCTCTGTCCAACATTAGGGAAGGCCTAACAAACTTGGGGGCCATCAGAAAACTGGCACACTACACGCTGTTCAAAGGAGTATGGCCCAACCTTACACCTCATTTGCATGTTTCTGGAGGACAGATTTCTAGAAGTGAAGTTGCTGCCTGGAATGTGCGCCAATCCAAGACTCAGATTAGGACAGTGTATCTTGCAGGACACGATGCAGCTGCTGGAAAGACAGGGCACCTTTACAGGAGCTGATGTGAAAAGCTTTCGGTGCCTTCCATTCTGTTTCAGTGTCAACAGGAATGCCACATGCCAGTCTAACCCACGAAAAACTCCAAAGACCTGGACACCAGTGTTAACTTTCACTCCCTACACATGATATGGTCTATATTTCTATAATGACTAGATTTATCATAACGAATATGTATTGCTTTTGTAATCAGAAAAAAATAGATATGTTTAAAAGCAGGGGAAGTGATACACACATGGACCAAATGAATCCCTAGAAATGTGAAGAAGCCCTAATAGAAAGGAACAAATGCTTCACCTCTTGGGTGCAGTGTGGGGCCTAAGCAAAGAGGAGAGAAAAATGCAACGTGATGAGATTTTAATGTTCATTAAGTTCTTTTCCTCATGCCCTGCTTAAAAAGACACAATGACTCCATACTTTGGTGGGCCTGGCAACTATTTTTCAGAGCAATTTTGATGATTTCTCTCAAATAAGAGAGACGGTTTATGACTTCTAAATACATAATTACTCATCTCAGTTTCTTTTTTTTTTTTTTTGTCCTTTTTGAGACCGGCCGCACCACGCTCAGCCAGTGAGCCCACCAGCCATCCCTATATAGGATCCGAACCCGCAGCGGGAGCGCTGCTGCACTCCCAGCGCCGCACTCTCCCGAGTGCGCCACGTGCTCGGCCCTCATCTCAGTTTCTAAAGGAAGAAAACATTGTATTAAAATAAAGGCCAGCCCGTGGCTCACTCGGGAGAGTGTGGTGCTGACAACACCAAGCCAAGGGTTAAGATCCCCTTACCAGTCATCTTTTAAAAAAATAAATAAATAAAAAATAATAGGGCTGGCCAGTTAGCTTACCTGGGAGAGGGTAGTGCTGATAACACCAAGGTCAAGGGTTCAGATCCCCATAATGGCCAGCTACCAAAAGAAAAGATGGATTCGGGCTGGCCACTTACTTCAGTTGGTTAGAGCACAATGTTGTAATACCAAGGTCAAGGGTTCAGATCCCCATGCAGGCTGGCCACAAAGAAAAAAAAAAAAAGAACAGTGCCCAGCCCAGAGAAAGCCCTCACTGCTTAGTATGTGGGGAGGCACGGACGGCAGTCAGACTGCCCAGGCTCAAACGCTGCTTCTACTGCTTGCTAACTCGGTTTCATTCTAGAAAGGTTACTTCAACTCTGGGTGTCCATTTCCCCCACCATAAAATGGAGAGAACATTGGGACCTACTTCAAGGACAACAGTAAAGGCTCAATGACTTATTCTTATAAAACTTAGCTCTGTACCTGGCAGAAAGTGAGAGCCTGGTGAATGGTAGCTGCTACTATTGTTATTTGGCTGGAACAAAACAAGGACTTAAGAGTGAGGCCAAAGCTCGTCCTGAGGCGGGGATGGGCACCAGCTCATTCCGTACCGTTTGCTGCTGCTCAGTCCAGTTCACCTCGAAGCTATCAAACGCATGGCTCTGCCAGTTCTTGTTCAGCTCTCGGATGACCATGGCCTCCACTCTCCGAAGAAAGGCTGTGAGCCGGGGGGTGTCATGCCGGGACACAGGCAGCACGCCAACTGGCACTGGGGCCTCCGTCTGCACCTGGGCATCTGCGTGCTTCCGGGCCTGAGCCGACGCTTCCACGGTGGCAATGCTGGCTGTCTGGCAACTTTTCTGGGGGGAAGAGCAAAACTAGTATCACCACCCAGCTGTACTCCCAGAATCACCTGCCCAGCACTCTCAGCCTCCCTCTACTGAACTTCCTTCCTTGCTGCAGTGGGTCTCAGGCTAATGGGCATCCATTCATTTCGTCTGCTCAGAGTTTGCCCCCTCCTCCTGTAACCAGCCCATCTTTCTTAGGAGGAGCCCACTCTGTGGTCTAGGTTGGGGAGAACCCTTTCACCCTCCCATGTCCCACTGAGGGGATGCATGAACTCCAGCTCCCAATCAGAGCACTGTACCCCTCCCCCAACCACGGTGATTGGTTTGGGGTAGCCACGTGATCCAAACAGGCCAGTAAGAGCCTGCCCCAGGGCTTTGGTGAAACTGTCCAGAGGCACACAGCAGAGTGCCCTTTCTGAAGACACTGACAGCTTTAAGAATTATCCCTCCTCAGAGCCAGCACTGGTTGTCCTGGCAAGCACACGTGCAGAACCCACAGAACGCCGCACAGCCTCTCCCTGCTCAGGCCCTTCCTTGGCAGGGGGCAGCCTCCCTGTGGGGTGGCACCCACGATAAAGGGAAGGCCTTGCTTCCATCTGTGATGAGCTGGTTAGCGGAAGGCAAGGCCCTGCTCCCCAGCAGCCCCTCTCTTCACCCTGCCACCCGTCTCTAATTCCCTGTCCCCTGCTCAGCTGGGCACGGGTACAGATCAGATCAGGGAAGGAGATGCCAGCCCCCCTTTCTTACAGACATGTCTAATCTGTTTTTTTTTTTTTTAGGTGGCTGGCTGGTACAGGAATCCGAACCGTGACCTTGGTGTTTTAAGGCTGCACTCTAACCAACTAAGCTAACCGGCCAGCCCGCACGTCTGATCTTTACCAAATGAGGATTCTATGGGTGGGAGCAACCACTGTGATTACTGTCACATACCAGAGGCTCTCTTCACATGGCCACTCACAGGACAATGATGAGGCCCTGGACCAGCATGCCCCCCACCCAGCCCCTCTCACGCAGGTTTGGGGGGCAGGGCCAGAGAACACGGAGTACTCAGCACTTATACCCCTTCCTCACCTCACATGCTACTCAGTGCTCTTCGTCTGTCTGTCTCCTGGCAAACTGGGAATCCCTCTAGCACAAGACCCTGTCTATCTTCATATCCCCAGCACTTTGCATGGTATTTGGCACATAGTAGGTGCTCATTTATACAAAAATAAAATTATTTATTGAGCATCTACTTGCCAGGCACTGTCCGGGTACTTAGGATATAGCAGAAAAAAATGTGCAAGATGACTGTGCCCCAGGTGCTTACATGGTGGAGGGGGGGACAAATAAACAAGAAAAACTCACCAAACGCAAGCGGTGCTAAGCACGAGCAGAGGTAGAAGGGAGGAGGGGAACAGCTAGAAAGCTGGCTAGGTGGGATGGCGAAGGACGCTTCTGGGACAGTGGCATCTGAGCTGAGACATGAAGGACAAGGGATCTGGCCAAGCGGAGAGCTGCGGGGAAGTGTCCCAGGCCGGGCCAGGGATCAGAGCAAAACTTTTGGGTAGAAAAGGTCCACATGCTAGGGCTGGCCCATGGCTCACTTGGGAGAGCGTGATGCTGACAACACCAAGTCAAGGGTCGGGATCTCCTTACCGGTCATCTTTTATTTTTAAAAAAAAAGAAAGAAAGAAAAGGTCCACATGCTCAGAGACTAGGCGGCAGGCAGTGGACAGAGCAGGTGGGGGGAGGGTGGCACACTGAGAGCCAGGATGCAGAGCTGGGATTTCCCTCTAGGTTCCAGCCACAGGACAACCATCAACAGGGTCAGGATGGGACATAAGACTGTGGCAGGTCTCCCTGGCTGCCCAGTGAGAAGTGGAGGGTGTGGGAATAGAAGGGGGAGGCATGGGTAGCGTCAGGATGTTTGGGAGTGTTGAAAGGATATGATGGACAGAATCACAGAAAGGAAGGAATCCAGGGTAACTCCAGGGTCTGTCTTGAGAACCGGTGAATGGCGTGTCTCTGGATATGAGCACAAACTCACAGAGAAGAGAACACACGGCAGTTCTGCTGGGCCTGGTGTATACTGAGATGCTTCTCAGACAGCCACATGAAGTTGTCAAGTATTCTAAAGGGAGGTCACAAGGCTCTGGAAAGCTTCAGGCCAGAGATGTTACTTGAAGCCACAGGACTAGAGGAGGCCACCGAGGGAGCATGCGCACTGAGGAATTAACAAATAGGCACGGGGGTCTGAAAGTATACATGCTGAGCCAAAGTTTCAGGAGACTGTGGGTAAATCTCGAACTTCCCAGAAGTCACAATAATAGTGCCAGTTACTAAGTGCTGACTACCGGGCACTGTTCTGGAAGTTTCACCCATGTCATCTCCATCCTCACAACCACCCTGTGAGGTTAATCCTATTTTTACATTATTAATATTGGCACTGAGAAACAGAGAAGCTAAGTAACTCACACAAGGTCACACAGCAAAGAGGTGATCGCAACGGAACTTGAACCCAGGCAATCTGACTCTTGACACTAAGCTATCTGATCTTATGACACTAAATTGTCTCCTATTCATGGTGTTCTCTCCCAAACACAGTGCATCTGCTGTGATGTGTCCACCAATCGTGTCAGATGCACTCAATGTTTCTAAGAGGAAATTGCGTGAATGTCTTATGTAAAAATATAAAACCACAAATTAATAAAAAGCAATTACATTCAAAAATGCAGGTATTTCTATTAATATTCTCTTGCTGCTTGATTATTCAGGCAAATAATGAATTCCAAAACAGTAAGGAAAATTTCTGGAGGAAAAAAAATTAAGACCAATGACACTGCATCAGCAAGTTTTTTCTGTGAGTTTCACTCTGGGATACCTAAGCCAGCTTCCTATGGTTTGAGATTCTTTCGAGATGAGGCCCAAGGCCACCCAGACAGTGGCACCTCCATGACAAGCAGCATGTGGCTGGTACAAGGGGGCTCCAATAACAAGCCCCCTGCTGGTGCCATAGCCTGTCCAGAGCACAATGCCCCTCCAAAGGGGAGTTAATGAAATTAAACCACCCCCAGTCATTGAAAGATTTGGAACCTCACTGAAAATTGGTATTGTTGGATTGCCGAGTGTTGGGAAATCTACCTTCTTGAATGTGTCAACCAATAGTCGGGCTTCAGCTGAAAACTCCCCATTCTGCACTATTGATCCTAATAAGAGCAGAGTACCCGTGACAGATGAAAGGTTTGACTTTCTTTGCCAGTATCACAAACCAGCAAGCAAAATTCCTGCCTTTTTTTTTTTTTTGTCCTTTTTGAGACCAGCCGCACCGTGCTCAGCCAGTAAGCACTGTGAGCGCACCGGTCATTCCTATATAGGATCCGAACCCGCGGCGGGAGCGCTGCTGCACTCCCAGCGCCGCACTCTCCCGAGTACGCCACAGGCTCGGCCCAAATTCCTGCCTTTCTAAATGTAGTGGATATTGCTGGTCTTGGGAAAGGAGCTCACAATGGGCAGGGCCTGAGAAATGCCTTTTTGTCTCATATTAGTGCCTGTGATGGGATCTTCCATCTAACATGTGCTTTTGAAGATGATGATATCACACGTTGAAGGAAGTGTAGATCCTATTAAGATACAGAAATAATACATGAAGAGCTTCAGCTTAAAGACAAGGAGATGACTGGGCCCATCAGAGATAAACTAGAAAAGGGGGCCATGAGAGGAGGAGATAAAAAACTGAACCCTTTGACATAATATGCAAAATCAAATCCTGGGCTATAGATCAAAAGAAACCTGTTCACTTCTATCATGATTGGAATGACAAAGAGATTGAAGTGCTGAATAAACACTTATTTTTTACTTGAAGACCAATGGTCTACTTGGTTAATCTTTCTGGAAAAGACTACATTACAGAGAAAAATAAGTGGCTGATAAAAATTAAAGAGTGACTGGACAAGTATGACCCAGGTGCCTTGGTCATTCCTTTTTGTGGGGCCTTGGAACTCAAGTCATGAGAATTGAGTGCTGAGGAGAGACAGAAGTGTCTGGACGCGAACACGACACAATGCTCTGCCAAAGATCATTAAGTGTGGTTTGCAGCACTCCAGCTAGAACACTTTTCCACTGCAGGCCCAGACGAAGTATGTGCATGGACGACGGGGAAAGGCACGGAGGCTCCACAAGCTGCAGGAAAGATTCACACAGATTTTGAAAAAGGGTTCATTATTGCTGAAGTAGTGAAATACGAAAATTTTATTTATTTATTTTTTTTTTTTAAGATGACCAGTAAGGGGATCTCAACCCTTGGCTTGGTGTTGTCAGCACCACGCTCAGCCAGAGAGCAAACCGGCCATCCCTATATGGGATCCGAACCCGGGGCCTTGGTGTTATCAGCACCGCACTCTCCCGAGTGAGCCACGGGCCGGCCCAAAATACGAAAATTTTAAAGAAGAATGTTCTGAAAACATGGTCAAGGCTGCTGGAAAGTACAGACAACAAGGCAGAAATTACATTGTTGAAGATGGAGATATTAACATCAAATTTAATACACCTTGGGCCGGCCCAGTGGCGCACTGGAGAGTGCGCCGCTTGGGAGCGCGCAGCGGTGCTCCTGCCATGGGTTCAGATCCCATGTGGAGACCGGTTCCCGCTCACTGGCTGAGCGTGGTGCAGGCACAACACCGAGGGTTGCGATCCCGTTACTGGTCAGTAAAAAAGACAAAAAGGAAGAAAAAAAAATTTAATACACCTTGACAACCAAAGAATAAATTTCAGTTACTGCTCAGATAAACATACAACTTCCAAAAGACATATGACTTTTTTAAAATTAAGATATCTAAGGGCCGGCCTGTGGCTCACTCGGGAGGGTGCGGTGCTGATAACACCAAGGCCAGGGGTTCGGATCCCATATAGGGATGGCCGGTTGGCTCACTTGGGAGAGCGTGGTGCTGACAACACCAAGTCAAGGGTTAAGATCCCCTTACTGGTCATCTTTTATAAAAATAATTAATTAATTAATTAGGATTTCTGAAAAC